TGTACTCAGCTAAATTTGTCTCCCATGTTGCTGTCTTCTACAGATTTTGAGGAACTCCTCTCATCTGCAAGGGATATAATCATTTGTTTACTTTAACCATGGCTAACAATGCTATAAATATATTCTCTGAAAGACTCCAATGTGGTAAGGGGGAAAGTGCATTTACTTTCTGAAACAGCAACACTGGGAAATTGTCTGGGACTTAGAAAGCACATTTTTATATTTCTAATGAAAAAGGGAAGGAGCGTTCATGAGAGTATTTGGATCTTGGAAAATGGAGGCTTTTGGCTCTGATGGAAAAGAGGAGGTGTAGGACTACAGTTAGGATTGCAGAGGCAAAAGCTTTTGTTTCTTTGAAGGAAACAACCCAGGACAAGGTTCCTGTAATGCTGAATTGAGAGCAATATTGTGGAGATACAGATGCAGTGACATGCACTTGGGTTTCCTCTGTCTTGAATAACATTTGCAAAAGTGTGCCACTGCCTTGGCCATGTGTTCTGTCTGTAAAGTGCATTGGCCTTTGTCTGTTCTCCTGGATGGGAAGAAAATGGTAGGTCTGGTCATTAGGACTCTTGGGGATATTGTCAAGCATTTGTGGCAAGTTTCCTCAGGTTAATTTAGATGCTGGCAGGGAATATTTATAGGAATGTCCTTGTGCTTTTGATTTGCTTGCCTTGTTGTCTCTATCCTTCTATCACTTACTCACCACCTCTCCTCAGCTTCTCTACAAACCTTAGGAGCTTGTCTTTTTGGCAAAGTTCCCTACCCTCCTAGAGGCTGTGGGAAGCCTTAGAAACCCAACACCATTTTTGAAGAACTATATCATTTTCCCTAGAGAGTTGTAACTACAGTCCTGTGAGAACAAAGAACTCTATCTAGAATTCACCTCCACTACCAACAATTTGACCACAGAGCAAATAGAAATCTTGATGGTTTCTTGGAAATGTCTGCCGATGAAACAGTAAGAATTGCTTCATGCTGTATACAGCAGCAATGCTCCAGTGTGGTTCCTGCTGCTAAACGTATTAAGTGGGAATGAGAAGCATGGCCACCCAGCACTTGCCAGATATGTAGACACACATTTTTCTTTCACCATTTACCTGTTTCTTGAAGAAAACATAGAACCTAGTGGCTACAAAATGCAAAGTAGTGTTTTAGATGGTAAAAATATTCAGTGTTCTTTTCCCAGATTTTAGTTTTTAAGAGGGAGATCTCTGAGTAGCAGCACAATTTTCTCTCAGCATAATTGTTTGTATGGGGGAATTTCTAACTTCTTACTAAGAATAAAACTGACAGACAGAGGAAATGAGATATTCACAAACATATGACCCAGCAAACTAAACTAGGACCAAAATTACAAGCAGACCTTGGCCTTAACTTTCAAACCACATATCCTTTCAGGAGATATGACCAGGCAGTTTATGGACAGGGTGGAGTGGATGCCAAAGAGTTCTTTTGAGGAGCTCCAAACTAAACATTGCTGATTAAAAATTCCAAGCTATATTATGAACAAGAAATCTATTACAAATGAAAGGGAAAGTCTGATTCATATGTTCAAGCTTGCTCTTGGGAGCCTGCAACCCCTTGCCAGAATAAAATTGATGTTAAAGCCTTCAGGGAGTCTCTGCCCTATACTTCAGGCACAAAGCTGATCACCTCAGTTAAATAGGGAATAGTCTTCCCTGCATGTTAGATTGCAGCTGCAATCTAAAGTGCATTTACTTGGAAGTAAATCCTTGCTAAAATAAACACGCCTTACTTGAGAGTAAAGATTGTTAGGATTATTTTGTGTAAAATTCAAGCATTAGTCACAAGTAAGGGGAAGGGATGCTGGTAAGTCAAGCAAAAACTGGAATTCAAGAATGAGGATTTTGATCTTAGGAAAGTTTGGAGGAGGAGGATTTTGCCTGCTTGTCATATTGCCAGTTTTAGATTTATAAAAGACCACATCCAAGAATGTGTATTCTCTCCTCACTCACACCCCCATTTGGGTTAAGACCAGCTTAAAACCACTACATATGCCAAGGAATACCAAGGAGGGTATCCATTAATGAAATGAGAATGGAGGGCAGATGGTTTACTCCTATAACAGCCTCCATGGGTTTTCTCTGTTGGCATCCCAAATAAGTTGCTGGTGCCAGATGAAAGAGGAAGGAGAGATGTATGTATGAAGGGATATATATTTTTAGATGTAGTATTACTTACATCTGAAAAGGATCTCCACTCATGGACAAAACTGTTCTTCAAATCCATTTCATTACATCTTGTTGGAAGGATGTACTCTTCTCAATGTTCAGGTTTGTTTTTTTCCAGAGAAGAGTGTCTTGGATGAAATGCACTCTATAATAGTTTAGTTATTATAAAGTGCAAGACTGGCAAGATGACTCTCCCAAGAATATTTGTGGCCATCATCACATCAAACCATCTATGCTTTTTGTCTCTTAACACAATGTATTTGTTGCAAAATCTGGGAATCTGACAGGTATCTCATACTCATATAAGTGTGTTGGAATATACTGTCTATTTTCTCTTGCATTTTGTTCATACACTGGCCATGGGAAGCCTACAAGGACATGAATGCAACAGTATCTTCCTATTCATATTTCCCAGTAACTGATGTTCAGAAACATAATACTTCTGTTACTGGAAATACACCTGACTTGACTAGCAGCCACTGATAGTCTCATTTTCTACGAATTTGTTCAGCCCTTTTAAAAGCTGCTGCAGGTTGTCAGTCATCATTTCTGGGGGCAGCAAATTCTATCATTTTAATTATGCATTGTGTGAAAAAGTTATTTTTTTAATTTGTCCTAAATCTCTCACCATTCTGATTCAGTGGATAATTTCTGATTCTAGGATTAAGGTTTTTCCCCTATATACTTTCTCCACACTATGCATAATTTTGGCTTGTTCCTCTTTGCTGTTTTTGTGTGCTTTCAAGTCATTTCCAACTTATGGTGACCCTTAGGTGAACCTATCAAGGGATTTTCTGGGGCTGAATGTGTGTGACTCACCCAAGGTTACCCAGTGGGTTTCCATGATAAAGTGGGGAATTGAACCCTGATCTCAAGAGCTGTAGTCCTATGCTCAAACCACTACACTACACTGGCTCACTTCACCTCTCCCTTTTCTAAGCTAACACACCCAATATTTTAACCTTAGTGGAGTTGTTCCAGTCCCCTTTGGTTGTCCTATACTGTCATGGTCTTCACCTTTTGCAACTCTTTGACATACGTACTTTTTTTTTAAGGCATGGGGACCAGAGCTGTTCACAATATTCAAATACAGTTGCAACCACAGATTTGTCTTGGAGTGGTATGACATACATTATACTCTTGGTATCTGCTGGGGTTTGGTTCCAGGATACCAAAATCCATGGATGCTCAAGTCACATTATTTACAACAGAGTAGTAAAATGGTGTCCCTTATATAAAATGGCAAAATCAAGATTTGCTTTTTGGATTTTTTTTGTAGGAGGAGGGAATATTTTCAAGTAGTGAATGGTTGAATCTGTGGATGCAGAATCTGTGGATATCGAAGGACAAATGTAGACAGTTTTATTCCTGATTTTTAAAATATGCTCAGCATGTAGTTCCCCAGCTGCCTTTGAACAGCAGATACACCCTGGGTCAATATTTTCAATGAGCTGCTCACCACACCCAACGTTCCTTTTCTAGTCAGTTATTGCAAGCTCAAATGTATGTTTTTGATTTATTATTATTTTTGTCTCAGTAGATATATTACACTTTCTTACACTGAGCCTCTTTTATTATTTAATACCCATTAAGGAGAGTTGCTTTCGTAGTTCCTTAGACCATTACTGATCTAAGTACTTTAAATTCTGCCACCAATAAGTTTGACCACCTTACTATTCACCCATTAAACTGAAGTCCTGTATCAACAGGTTAAAGAGCATTCATACTGATAGTGTCTACAAATACTGAATTTAGGATTAACGGTACCACTGAAAGAAACTCCCCAATAAGTTGAATCCCAACAATTTATGAATCCAGTCACATGATAAGTTCTTGTCCAAACGTACAGCAGCAGCTGGATTTACTTGATGCACAATCTTTTTCTGTTATGAACATCATCTTCACAGAGAGAAAGAGAGAGAGGAAGTAAAATGTCCACCTGTATATTTTAATGGCAAAATCCAACAAAACATTTAAACTGTCCAAGAGGAAAGCCAATGGAAGAACAAGCTCCCAACACAGTTACAAAAAATAAATTCAATCAAAAAGTCTTAATGGTTTGAATCTAGGGGAGAGGAAGTATGTATTGCACAGGAAGGGGGGGGAAATTCACCCTCAAACATACTCCTCCCCCTTGGAGTAAAACAAGCCAAGGTTTGAATTGCACAGCAACTCAGCTTAGGACACGCACGCGTGCACAAACACACATACATAGGAAGTGGGGGAAACAGTGTGCTTTTGAACTACCTGTACAAAGTTTAAGACAACATATAAAAGGAGAGAAGAGACAGCAGGCTCATGGGGTATAAAAGCTTCCAGGAGGCTGGTCTACATATCCAGCTATAGAAAAACAATTCTGCACTAATTAAAAAGACCAAAACAGAAGCAGTTTGGGCCCCATGGGACTATCTAAAACAAGGTTGGGCAACTTGCGACCCTCTAGATGTTGTTAGCCTGCCACTCGCATCAGCCCTAGCCAGTGTAGTAAGGGAACTGGCATAGCAAGAGTAATAAGAGCATTAACAGTTTGACAACACCTGAAGGGCTACAAGTTTCCCATCCTTGGTCTAAATTACAGGACATGCTCTTACACATGATCTGCAGTGCCCACCGTCCAGGTTGGGAAGTTGCCTTTACTGGTCATGGAAGCTTTCTGAAAACAAAGACTTCCTGATTGAGTCTGCAAGGTGGATGAAAACTTGCACCAACCTTTAATTGCCTAAAGAGCTTTGTATGTTTTTTCTACACATCTTGAGAGGAAAGCAAAGAAAATTTGCTTTCCTCTCTCCCACGACCTGCAGCCATAGCTATACTTCTTTTGTGGCCTTTGTTATATGATGTAATGTGTAACGTACACATGGAGTAGGACAAAGCTGGATGGGAAAAGTAAAATCCCAGATGGTTATATGGATATGCACTAGGTCTTGGCTTCTCAAAACCTCTACAAATCGTGAGAGTGTTAGGTACAAAAAGTAAAGTCAGTCTCAAAGAACTACAAACTTCCAGGCAGATTCAAATTATTCCCTAATGGAGAGTGGGAATTAGCTGGATAAAATGCATTACATTTCTGACCCTAATCTTGATGAGTGTTCCAAAATGTGAAAAACCAGGACAAGTCTTTGCAGCTCATCCCCACAAATTCAAATTTTCCCATCTAAAATAAACAAACATTGGTTAGTCTTATGTGCAAACTATCTTTCTCCATCAGCTTGTCCAAGACTCTCATAACAAATACTCCTTTGACAGACCCCTCAATACTCTCTTCTTCTTTACACTCTGGTGTTGACTGCATCCCACAGAAAGGCAATCATTTCCCAATTGTTTGAGAATAGTTTGCAGACTGTTTGAAGTTTAAGTGTTCTTGCCTCAAATTGTCCAGTCAGTCTGTTCTTCCTAAGCAGAGCTCTTAGCCTCTTAGCCTTCTGGTAAAATTGTATGCCAACAAACTACAGGTCTGCTGGGCCCCCATATAAGGACTAACTCCATTTGGAGCCAACACCAGGGCAGCTGGTACCTGCTCAACATCTTTTGAAGATAACTGAAACCAGCTTTGCAGCCATGTGATATCCAAATGCAACTGATTCAGGATACCTCAAAGCAAACATAGCCTTCCCTGTTGAGAACATGATTCCCATTACATGTGCCTGGCTATGTGAAGACACAGGTTTCTCTAACAGTAGGGGTTTTGTTTTTAGCACAATGGGAAGGGGGGGGGGAAGAAAAAAGAAAAGGGACAAAGAGCTAAAGCTGAGAGACCATAGTAAGCAAAGAGTTTAGGATAAAATGAATGACTACTTGGGTAACTGGCATAGTATAAAGGATAAGCATTCTGACTTATAATAATTCAGTTGGAAAATGTATGAGGTTGACTGTATGTAAGTATAGACAGTATTTAGGAATAAACTGAAAAGTTCATTCCTCTTGAGGCAAGGAATTAGGGGACTATGCAGAAAAAATTCTCTTTTACTGCTAGCATTGGCAGCTTACTGGTCCCTGGATAAAAGGATATAGTGTATGTCATTAATACTGGTTGATGAGTTGATTCCCTTTATCTGAATATATGAAATAGTTAGTCCTACCACCCTAAAACTTACAAGGGAATGGCCCAGCAAGAGCCCTTCATTCCTAGCTATGATAAGAGGTGGTAGCTATTCAGAGTGAGATTTGAAACCACATCTTCTGAGCAAACAGTGCTACTTAAACACATTTTTTACACATTCAGAACAGGCTATTTGCTAAATCAGTGTCTGTGAAAGGAAGAGGAAAAGCATTATATGAGAATGGAGGGAGAGGAGAAGAAGGAAAGATGGGGAAGAGGCACTTTGCTTGAAATGTCTAGTGCAGCAGGCTCAAAGTCAGATTGGAACAGCTTGCTCTAAAGAGGGTGTGATGTTCCCTGGACATACCAGGCACTTTCATCCTGTTACATAAGCACCCCTCACAGTAAGGATCACACAGCATGGAGTCAACAGGGCAAAAAGAATGAACCAAAGGGGAAAGCAGAGGATATGCTGTTCTGGAAAGCATGCTAGAATGGCCTATGACCTGCTTTGTGTTCTTGCGATGCTTGACTGTCATTCAAGGTTTGTCTGACTCCCTCAGAGGCAGGGTTGTAGTATATCACCAGCACACACCCCCTGCTATGTCCCCAGAATTGTGCTAGTATTCTTCCAGTAACAGGGCATACCAGGACAATGGACACTGCTACTGGTGAAACTGTTGAGAAAGGCAGCACCCACTGCTAGGAACCAGATGAAGTGAAAATGAGCAGCAGAAGACCTGAAAGGGCTGCAGATTCTGTGTTTTGATGACATCACACACACTAGGTGTAGGGCACCACAACTGAGGCTCCAGCAGTGGTTGAAAGAGAACAAGCACTTCCTTCCTTGTGCTTTGATGGAAGGAGCCGTGACCCTCAACAGGATCTGGAAGCAGGTAGGAAGGGAATATTAGGTGGCAAGAGTCCATCCCTGGAATGTGGTGGTGGGAACAAATGGAGTCAGCACTGTTCAAAATCCATTACACAAATAAATAACAGTGTGGTGGCTTAGCCCAAACCAAGCTTTTGATCCTCTTCTTGATGGATATTAAAGGAAAGGCTGGCCAGGCTCTTGTGCCACTCTGCTTCTGCTCCCCTAGGCAGGGATAAGGCACACCGCTGAGCATTACACAGCTGTCTCCTGATCCTCTCTTTGGATCATCTGGTAGTGCTGTCGATTTTCGAGGTAGGCAGCCAGGTCAGGGTCATTTGCCTTCTCAGCTCTGTGCTTAGGCGTGTCTCCCTGAAGAAAGGAGAAACAAAATATGGATTTATTTGTCTCTAACATCCTCACTTTCTCCCAATATTAGGATGCAATATGGTCCAAAATGTAATTAAAAAACAGATACATCTGGACTGGGATTGGACTGGACAGCCCTTGTGGTCTCTTCAAACTCTATGATTCTATGAAAACACAGTGAGGAATTTTATTACATAGTCAGTTAAAAAATTATCACATTAAGAACAGAAGCTGAATATAAAATAAATTTAAAACAAATCAAGGAAAAGCTCCCTCTCCCCACCCCCATTATAGTCCCCAACTTTAGCTGCTAGTCAGTTGCCAAAACTTACCAGAATAAAACAGGTGTTTGTCTACCAGCAGAAGGACAACAAAAAGGGGCCATTATAGCTTTCATGGGAAGGGTGTTCCATAACATGGGAGCATCCATCAAGAAGGCCCTCTCTCATGTCCTCAACAAATGTGTCTGTGATGGTGCTGAAAACACGAAAAGAGCTCCCCACAAAGATCTTAAAAACCAGAAGCCCATAAAGGGAAAATACAGTCCTTCACATAGCCTTGATCCTTCAAACAGATCCAAGTCATTGATGATGACAAGAACCCAATTTGTCCTGGCTACAATGAGGACTTCATCTC